GAACTCTGATCATCATCATCATCATCATCATCCTCAGCAGCTTCCTCAGCTTTAGCTGCTTCTTTGACATCACCTTCATCCTCCTCTGGGTAACTCTGGAAAATTCCCACATTTTCCCCCCACTTAGGATTGTACTCAACACTCTTTGTGAACTTAATGGACTTAGAGTTGGTCATCCATACCCTGTATGCACCTTTTCGTACCCCATGAACAAACCATGTGCCCCACGCTTCCCAAGCTTGTTGCTCTGTGGGGTGTGTACCCACATGTCAGAACCAAAGATTCTCATGTGTTTGATGTTGGGTTTCTTACCAAACATCTTCTCATAGGGGGTACAACCAATAGGTGATGACAATCTGCGATTATAAGTGTAAGCAAAATTTGACAGAGCCTCCCCCCAATACTTATCAGGGAGATTGGCATCATGCAACAATGTTTTCATTCCTTGCAGCAACGTTTGATTTGCTCGCTCCGCAAGCCCATTCATCCATGGCGATCTAGGCGTTGACAAGTCATGCTGGATTCCCTTCTCAGTCAGGAAAGCTTCAAACTGCTGAGAAGTGAACTCCCCGCCTCGATCAGTAAACAGACAGCCAATACGTTTACCGTGAACATTCTCCAACCAAGCACAGAATGCCTTGAACTTAGGAAACGCTTGCGATTTCTGCTCGAGCATAAACACATGAATGTACCTGGAAAAAGAATCAATTAGAACCATGAAGTACCTTGCTCCACCCAAAGAGGGCGCAAGTGGACCAACCAGGTCTGCGTGCACTAGCTGGTAGGGTTTGGAAGCCTGCCTGCTAGACTCCTTGCCTTTTGGAGCAACCTTCACCTTGTTCTCTGCACAAGATACACATTTCATGTGAAACTTACAGGGTTTGATGTTCAAACCCTCAACCATCTCTGGCATCTTGGCCAGTGCCTTCCAAGAGAGATGGCAAAACCTTCTGTGTGCATCGTGAATGCATCCTGCATGAAGAACTTTGTTAGTTTGTGCAACACAACAAGAATCAGCATTAGACACAACAGCACCATTGTCGTCATAAGTTATACAGAACAAGCCATCCATAAACTTTGCATGCAAAATGTCCTCTTTGCCTTTTCTGATGACACAGACGCTCCTCTTGAAGGAAATCTCAAAACCACGCCCAGTAAGCTGTGGGACACTGAGCAAATTGTCTGCAGCACCTGGAACATACAGTACATCTTTGATGGTAGTGTGCAGACTTGCCAGTTTCACAGTCCCTTCTCCTGCGATTCGCAACGTCTTTCCGTCAGCCAGGTGGATCTCACCTTCTTGAGGTTTGAAGGAGATAAATAGGTGGCGGTCCTTTGAGACATGGCGGGTACAGCCTGAATCAACACCAAACCTGGCTGTGACCTTTGGAGCAGTCTTTGCAGCAAGCAAAACCTTGTTTTCCACCGGCGTGGGCTTTTGCAGCTTGCCCCCCTGCTCCTGGCCATCAGACTTGCCTTTAGCCTTTGGTGAAGCTGTGCCAGTAAACAAAACCTTGTTTTCCACTGGCGTGGGCTTTTGCAGCTTGCCCCCCTGCTCCTGGCCATCAGACTTGCCTTTAGCCTTTGGTGAAGCTTTGCCAGCAAACAAAACCTTGTTTTCCTCTGGCGTGGGCTCTTCACCCTCCCTCTGCTTCTGGCCATCTGCAGGTGTCTGCCTCTGTTTACCTTTGCCCTTCCGGCCTCTGCAAAGGCGATGACCTTGGCTCCCATGAGAAACAGAGCTCTCAGCTGCCGACTCCTTGGCTCCCCCCTGGAGGCTGGAATGCTGCCTGGGATGACGTGACAGTCAGCTCCCCCTGCAGCTTGCAACCGGTGCCCTCAGCATCCCTGCATTCACTCGCATTCTGGGAAACAGCCAGGACCTCCGATACAGTCAAACTCTGGGCTGGGATGACTGGCAAATGGGCTATCTTCAAAGCATGCCACATCTTTCGTGCAGTCAGATTGCCAGCAAGCGTCTTTATTTCCTCCAGAGAGACGGACAAGACGATTACGTCAACGGCCTTCGAATTTTCGGCCTTCCATCTATCTGTCAGAGGAACTGGAGGGGCTTCAGACACAGTATGCCACACTCCAAACTGACGCAGCAAACTCTCACACCATTTTGCCCAGGTCTGATAGTTGTGCCGATTTAACTTTGGGCACTCAGCAGCCTCAGAAGCCTGGAAAAACTCCATTCCAGGTTTCTACTTGAGCCGTGAATCTTATTCACTTCAGAGACGTCTTATCTTGGCAGCCATAAATCTTGAGGCCTTTGGCGCGGCTCCCAGATCCAATTAGGCCTGCCGGACATCAAAGGCCCTTGCCGCGGCAAACAGAAAAGCCTCACTTTCGCTTTTCCTCCACATACCTTTCAGCAGTCTGTCGCAGTCTTACTCTCCTGTAAGTGCTGTGAATCTGGGCCCGAAACCTGTTGTTGGGATACTGCCAGGGAGATAAAGTCCATCAAGGCCCCCAAGCCGTCTGCCGGACGATCCATCGGACCCCGTAGGCACGCAGCGACATGAGTTTCTAGAAAATATCTTGCCACATTCTAGAGCTCATGCACACTCTATCAGCAATTAGCACAGCCAAAAGTTGCACTCAGGAGAGCATTATTTACAAGTTTATTCAGCGTTGATCAGAACACAGAAAAACATGACTGCCTGCTGATTTAGTGTCTGCGACACCAGAGAAAACGAAAGCAACAGAAAACATAAACATCCTGTGAACAGGAAATACGCAGACTCTGACTCACAAAGCCTGCTCCCTTTTAAGGTGGAACGGAAATATCCTAACATGGAGATGGTCCCTTCTGCACAGAGAGCACAAGCATAGCAGCAAATGGGCTGCCCTTCTTGAACCACCTTGGCGTATCCAGGTTGACAGCTTTCGCTACACCTGGCACGAGGCATAGTCTAAACAAAGGTGAAGAGGCATCAAGAGGAATGTGTTAGAGGTGTGGAAATGAATCATGGGGTTTGGAAGAGGTTTCCATAAACAGCCACTTTTAGGCAAATACTTTTTGTGCTTACAAACTATTCTGCTATATATAATTTTTCTGCTCTGATAATTTTAGAGCAGAGGGCCAAGGAAAGATCACAGGCCTCATGCTAAGCTGGAACAGGAAGTACTTGTTAACCAAAGGGATTGTACTGTATGGACGGTTTTTTGGGCACACCTGTTGCAGGTCATGAGCTAGAGTGTTTCTAGTGACTTTCTGAAGCTGAGTGTGGATGCTGCTCAGATTGTGTGAATTCTGCATTAAAGATGTGAAACAAGGGCTGTTGGATGAATGGAGAGACAAATGTTTCATGCTGTTATCACGTTTGAACCTGGCATTGAAGAAAAAGTGGTGTGGTTGATTCACTCAAGAAAGGAGTGTTTGGGATAGGAATTGTGGGGATGGTTACAGATGAGCTCTAGATTGGGTTTGCAGGAATTGGATAAGAATAATTTCCTGTTTCAGTATCCTGTAAACAGTATAAATGATTTCAGCTTCACAGATGAAAAGCAGCGAGGGAGGACACTTCATTCATCTCCGCTACCTGCTTAAACTGCCAGGGCCACACAATGGCTTCTGTGTTAATGATGAGTTTTACATCTGAAGATGCCTGTCTCTCTACACTCCCAACTTTCACTCTTCCACGAGACCTATTACGAAACAGCACCCAGTTCACAATATCATAATCTGCTGCCAGATCCCCATTCTCATCTGAATAGAGTCCGCCCCTGGAGGTGTTAAACAACTGGACGCTTCTTAAGAAAGGGTGGAGCCGGAATAACAGGAAAAAATAATGCAGAACGAGTGCCTTCTGAATTCCTAGTCATCACATTTTGTTATGGTAATCTGTCTGTCTTGAGAGACAATAGAGTGCACCTCCAGGGGTGAAATGAAATGGCTGGAGAATCACAGCGCCTGCTGTGGCTGCAGAGACTGGTAACTTGTAACTGCTTTCCCCTGTCTTTTGTTGCATTAGCAGCACCAAAGCGACCTACTCTGGGGCACAAGCTTGGGCAGTGTGACTAGGGGTCCTATGATGCCAAGACCATCTTGGCCTCACTGATGTAGTCCAATGGAATGCAATGCAATACATTTGGCACCAGCTTGGCTGCAGAGGTTGCCGGAAGGATGGAGGCATACAAGATGCCATCAAACCATCTTAGGAATTCTACTCCAGATTTGTTTGGGGTTTGGTCCTTACCCTTTTCTTACCTCCTAAAGATGTCCCTCAAGACAGCAGATAATTTTACATATTCTTATGATAACTCAATAAAATAATCTTTATTAATCTTGGATGAACATGGCCACTGGCCCCATCACCTCCTGGCAAATAGAAGAGGGCTCCATGATCACTGCAGATGTGACAGCAGTCATGAAATTAAAAGACGCCTGCTTCTTGGGAGAAAAGCAATGACAAACCTAGACAGCATCTTAAAAAGTAGAGACATTACTTTGCCGACAAAGGTCCATATAGTTAAAGCTATGGTTTTCCCAGTAGTGATGTATGGAAGTGAGAGCTGGACCATAAAGAAGGCTGATCGCCGAAGAATTGAGGCTTTTGAATTATGGTGCTGGAGGAGACTCTTGAGAGTCCCATGGACTGCAAGAAGATCAAACCTATCCATTCTTAAGGAAATCAGCCCTGAGTGCTCACTGGAAGGACAGATCCTGAAGCTGAGGCTCCAATACTTTGGCCACCTCATGAGAAGAGAAGACTCCTTGGAAAAGACCCTGATGTTGGGAAAGATTGCGGGCACAAGGAGAAGGGGACGACAGAGGACGAGATGGTTGGATAGTGTTCTTGAAGCTACCAGCATGAGTTTGACCAAACTGTGGGAGGCAGTGGAAGACAGGAGTGCCTGGCGTGCTCTGGTCCATGGGGTCATGAAGAGTCGGACACAACTAAACAACTAAACAACAACAACAAAGTGAAGGACATTGGTTCCAGAGTTGGAGAATGGATTACGCATTTACAGTGGTGTTGTGGAAGAGATAAGTGTACCTGCCATGGCTTCAGTCTTCCATGTCCCCAATTGTCTCCTCTACCCATCATCAGCATCTGTTTGGATCTGGAAGAATAGGCAGAATTTAAGGCAAGTGCCACAGCTTGGACGCTGTTGTAAGTAATATAGCTGTTTTGAGACAGGACCCTTTCAATCTCCTCCTGGAGAAGAATCTCCAGTTTCTCTTTCTCTGTGCACCTTATCCATTGTTTCATGGGCAAGACATCCTTGGAACATAAACAGTGAAATGATTCATCCCAAAATTGTATTGTCCTTTCAGACCATGGCTCAAAGTAGTCATGTTTTGTCCATCTTCTGGTCTTCATTGTGAAGGACAAAGAACCATGGGTGTACATAAAGTGCTTAATTTCGTAGTGCAAAAGCCTGAAGATGTCTTGAAAAGCTGTTGTAATCCAAACTTTCCCCCCAGTTTGTATCTTTTCAAGAATTTCTTGTATCACAAATATTGGAGTAAATTCATAGCGACAGTCCCCGCAGAAGACAAATACAGTGACTTTTATCCACATGACAGTTGGCTTCCTCTCCATGAACTCTGCATATAGAGTCTCACGTTCCACTCTTTCGGAGAAGGCAACACAGATTCCTCTACCCATCATCAGAGGTCTCACAGCATTCAAAAACCTTTCTCCACTGTCATTGTCTGAAGCAAAGAGACCAATCCGTGTCCATCCAAAATGCAGGAGCAACTTGACAACCCCCAGGTACTGGATTTCTTCCTTGGGGATCATCTGGTAGACAAAAGGGAACTGAGTTTTATCACTATGAGAAGAGCCATAGCTGACCTGCTGAGGAAGAGTAGAGGCTGATTTAGGTCCAGATATTCTCTTTCTTCAGAATATTAGGTTGTGGAGAAATATATAGCTATGTGACAAAATATGTATATATTGTAAGAATACTAGGCTGTGGGGGGTGTATACACACACACACACACACACACACACGCAGGCAGGCAGACACACACACACACACACACACACACACACACACCCCTAGTGATATATAAAGATGTGTTTTGGATGCTTAGGAGAAACCTCACTTTTTGAGATTGTCTTGAACCTAATTATAAAAACACACAATAAACTAGCATAGTGAATGGATGGTGAAATGGTGCCTGTAATTAGATTTATCAATACGCTGCACTAAGTGGTGCAAAAAGTTCCATTAATACATTTTTAAAAGATAGATTTTTCATTATAAACTGGAAAAGTCAGTAATGACTATTGTAACCACCAAATATAACAAATAGTAACCATTGTAATGTCAAACAAATTGTACCATGTTAGTATAAACTAGATTGAAGCTTTCTTGACATTTTCTTTGCGGCCCCCACAAACTGTAGTGATTTTCACCAACTCTGATGGTTTTCAAAAAGGATAAGATAAATTCAGGTAGGATAAGGCATTCAATCTTTTCTACCCACAACGAACACATTTTCCCTCCACTTTCAGAGGCAGGAAGCCTCTGAATGCCAGCTGCTGTGAAGCAAAATTGTGAAGAGCGTCCTGATTGCAGGCTTTCCAGAAGAGGCATCAGGTGAGCTCACCTGAAAACAAGATGCTGGGCTAACTGGTCCTTTGATGTGATCAAGCCCCTCTGTGCTTCTGATGTTTCTGGGGAATCTCAGGCTAGATTCACCTTATTGTAGGTCTTTTTGGACCATCCTTTCCTAAAAAGTGAATGGCAGAGTTGGGAGAGAGCTACGTGGTCATGTAGTCTAATCCCCTGCACATACTGGCAATCCATAAACTGTAGTATATTTGACAGGGAGGCATTCCAGTCCCTACCTCCCCGACCTGGCCACAGTGATCCATGCGACGGTCACCTCCAGGCTTGACTACTGTAATTCGCTCTACGCGGGGCTGCCCTTGAAGCTGTCACAGAAACTCCAGCGGGTGCAGAATGCTGCAGCGAGGCTCCTCACGGGGTCTCTGCCGTGGGAGCATATTCACCCAGTGCTTTTCAAGCTGCACTGGCTCCTGGTGAAGTACAGGGTCAGATTTAAGGTGCTGCTTTTGACCTTTAAAGCCCTTCACGGCCTAGGACCCTCATACCTACGGGACCGCCTCTCCTGGTATGCCCCACGGAGAGCCTCAAGGTCCATAAATAGCAACACCCTAGTGGTCCCGGGCCCTAAGGAAGTTAGATTAGCTTCAACCAGAGCCAGGGCCTTTTCAACTCTGGCTCCGGCCTGGTGGAACGCTCTGCCTCATGAGACCAGGGCCCTGCAGGATCTGATTTCTTTCCGCAGGGCCTGTAAGACAGAGTTGTTCCGCCTGGCCTTTGGCTTGGAGCCAATTTGATTCCCTCCCCTCTTTCTTTTTCTTTTCCTTCTCCTCCTGCGATGAGGCTACATTTTAATATTTTAATGTTTCAATATTTTAATGTTGTATTTAATTTTGTTTTTAAGTTGTAATCATTCAGCTTGTTTTTATTATTGCTTGTAAGCCGCCCTGAGCCCAGCCTTGGCTGGGGAGGGCGGGGTATAAATAAAAATTATTATTATTATTATTACCTGTGGGATTTTGTACATGCCCAACATGCTTGAAATCTGGATGGAGTTGTCAGGTTCAGCCCTTTCAAAAACAGCCAAGAGGTTCTTCCGCCATCCGCAGTTATAGTTTGGAAGAAAGATGGCTTTCCCCACCAGAATGCATGTCTAGCATTGCATTGGAAACCAGTCTGCCATTAAAATAGGTTTCAAAGAGGCTGTAGCCTAGGGTGATGTTGGGTATCCTGATTCATCTCCTGAACAGCAAACAAGAAGGACAGAATGTGCCAATACATCATTGGAGCCAAACTGCAAACCAGCAAACACAACAGTTATGACCAGGACGCCATTCTCCATTCAATGAAAAGAGAATGGCAAATTCTTTATTTTTATTAATCAAAGGACTTTTCTGGGCAACATCTCCTCCCCCCACCCAAAAAAATGCTTTGTAATGTTTTTACTGAAGGTGGGAGACCTTCCCTTGTTGCAAAGCAGATCTTAACTCACCAATTCAGAGGAAAATTGAAAGGTTATTTTTCATGATGAAAAGTCCACAGTCTTCAAATAACAAAATCAAAATACATTTTCAAGTTTTGTGAAAGGCTTGAAAGCTGATGAAAGGATGCTCTGATTTTGCAGCAGAAAATACTTTTAGCTAACCCCCTGAAAGTTACAATAAGCACTGAGAGAAACTCTGTTGTGGACTGTCACTATATGGCTGGTGGGATTTGAGAACTTCGGGTTTGTGCAATTGAAATGGATTAAAGGACCCTGTTGCCCTGCCACAACAAATCCACATTCTTAAAAAGAAATGGACTCTTTGCATTCTGGAAGGTGACAGCAGAAGGCATTGGAACACATTGGATGAACAAAGGACCAATGTGAAGGTGTCTAAATACCCCACGTTAATGGAGATGAATGCAGAAGCAACACTTATTGTCACATGACTGTTTCATTAATAAATCAGAAATACAGTGGTACCTTGGGTTAAGAACTGAATTCATTCTGGAGGTCCGTTCTTAACCTGAAACTGTTCTTAACCTGAGGTACAACTTTAGCTAATGGGCCGCGCCACCACCGAGTGATTTCTGTTCTCATCCTGAAGCAAAGTTCTTAACCCGAGGTACTATTTCTGAGTTAGCGGAGTCTGTAACCTGAAGCATCTGTAACCTGAGGTGTCTGTAACCCGAGGTACCACTGTAATGTTCAATAAAGACTTGATCTAATTTCAACATTGCCTAAACTTTGTATATCTGGGAGCATCCAGAGTGTCAATAGGGCAACATTAGATCCATCTGAAACATACAGTTACTTACTCAACAAGCTTTGTTGATGGGGGCTTAGAAAAGATGTATGGTTCAAAGAAAGCAGGTTTGGGTGAGATGATTCCGCCAATGACATGGTCCCCTGCCCTGTAATAATTCAGTGGTTTGTTTCGATGCCTGAAGGGACTTGAGGGACAGTTCCCACAGACTGCCTGGGGCATTAACAACATCAGCAGCAGCAGCAGTGATATCATCCTAGCAACGCCAGTAACAATGCCCTTTTGTGACATCAGTAACTACAGCAGAACAACAGGCGTCCAGCCTCTCAGGGTAGTGAGAGGAAACTGCCCACCTGCACAGCCCCTTCCTGTCCTCAATCATAGACCAGGATTTCCATGGCACATGACTTGTTGTTTTGAGAAGTATAGGAGAGGAGGTATTTATGGCCTAGCTGTTCCTTCAAGCTTGTTACAAGAGGTTGCCTCATTTTCTTCCTTTTAAATTATAGTTACAAGAAGTTGCCTTGTTTTCTCCTTTTAAATTATTTGCCTCTGGGGAAATCCCTGACACTTTTGTGCGAGGAGAGGAATACATCACTATGATTTTGATAATTATAAAGGGGAAGAAAGCTCCTCTCTGAAACCTCCTGGACTATGTGTGGCTCACTGAGCAGGTGCAGAACTGGAAGAAAAACAAGTCTGTGAGAAATGAGCAACATAGCTTCATAGTCCTTCAAGTCATTGAGGATTCTGGTGAACTTTGCAAACTTTCTAATGATGAAATAGTTTCATAATGGGTAGAATCAAAATGCTCTTTCTTTTAGGCTCTATTTGAACTATCACACATATGCATACATATGCATACGGGGACACGGCTGGCGCTGTGGGTTAAACCACAGAGCCTAGGGCTTGCCAATCAGAAGGTTGGCAGTTCGAATCCCAGCGACGGGGTGAGCTCCCGTTGCTCGGTCCCTGCTCCTGCTGACTTAGCAGTTCGAAACGACTTGGATGATGGACTCAAGGGCATCCTGATCAAATTTGCAGATGACACCAAACTGGGAGGGGTGGCTAACACCCCAGAGGACAGGATCACACTTCAAAATGACCTTGACAGATTAGAGAACTGGGCAAAAACAAACAAGATGAATTTTAACAGGGAGAAGTATTGCACTTGGGCAAAAAAAAAATGAGAGGCACAAATACAAGATGGGTGACACCTGGCTTGAGAGCAGTACATGTGAAAAGGATCTAGGAGTCTTGGTTGACCACAAACTTGACATGAGCCAACAGTGTGATGCGGCAGCTAAAAAAAGCCAATGAAATTCTGGGCCTCATCAATAGTATAGCATCTAGATCAAGGGAAGTAATAGTGCCACTGTATTCTGCTCTGGTCAGACCTCACCTGGAGTACTGTGTCCAGTTCTGGGCACCACAGTTCAAGAAGGACACTGACAAACTGGAACGTGTCCAGAGGAGGGCAACCAAAATGGTCAAGGGCCTGGAAACGATGCCTTATGAGGAACGGCTAAGGGAGCTGGGCATGTTTAGCCTGGAGAAGAGGAGGTTAAGGGGTGATATGATAGCCATGTTCCAATATATAAAAGGATGTCACATAGAGGAGGGAGAAAGGTTGTTTTCTGCTGCTCCAGAGAAGCGGAGACGGAGCAATGGATCCAAACTACAAGAAAGAAGATTCCACCTAAACATTAGGAAGAACTTCCTGAGAGTAAGAGCTGTTCGACAGTGGAATTTGCTGCCAAGGAGTGTGGTGGAGTCTCCTTCTTTGGAGGTCTTTAAGCAGAGGCTTGACAACCATATGTCAGGAGTGCTCTGATGGTGTTTCCTGCTTGGCAGGGGGTTAGACTCGATGGCTCTTGTGGTCTCTTCCAACTCTATGATTCTATGATTCTATGAAAGCACATCAAAGTGCAAGTAGATAAATAGGTACCGTTCCGGCGGGAAGGTAAACAGCATTTCCGTGCGCTGCTCTGGTTCGCCAGAAGTGGCTTAGTCAGGCTGGCCACATGACCCGGAAGCTGTACGCCAGCTCCCTCGGCCAATAAAGCGAGATGAGCGCCGCAACCCCAGAGTAGGCCATGACTGGTCCTAATAGAGCGGTACCTATTTATCTACTTGCACTTTGGGCAGGGGGAGCGGCTATCCCAGAAGCCAGAACAGCCAGAGGCTATCCCAGGCTATACCAGAAGCCAGATCCCTCTTGCTGTTCTGGCTTCTGGGATTCAGAAATTTTTTTCTTCTTGTTTTCCTCCTCCCAAAACTAGGCGTGCCTTATGGTCTGGTGCGTTTTATGGAGCGAAAAATACAGTACATATACAGAAAAGGCAAAGTTAACTTATTTGTACTTTTCAAAACAATACATGATCTTTCTTTTTTCCCCTTTTTTCCTTTTTAAAATAATCTTTATTGGTTTTTCAGTTACATACTGCACACACATATTGTATTACATTTTACATTTATACTTGCTCTTGAGAGCTGACTTCCTTCCTTTTTCTGGCTTTTTGTATCGCATCTGACTATTTCGCATTGTCTTTATCCATTTTGCATATTATTGTTCTTCTTCCATATTTGTCCATTTTTGTCCATAGAGTATTTGTACACAAATAAATCCTTCTATTTACACAATTCTTCTTGTCTATCTATATTCATTTGCCACTACTGTTAGTTACATTAGTCATGTTATACATTTTGCTTCTTATTATTTTTATTATCCAGTTAATTTGTTTGTATTTCACATTATGAGGTTTATTTCAGTTCTACTGGTTCCATTATTTCACATTATCTTTCCTATATACAACATAAATTTTTCCCATTCTTTTTGAAATGTTTCATCATCCTGTTGTCTAATTTTTGCTGTTAATTTAGCTAATTCTGCAGCAATACATGATCTTTCAGTGCTTTCAAAATGACAACTAGGAACATTTTTTAAAAAAATAACAATAATTGTTTATTTTACGGCAATATTCCTGCTACAAGTGAAGATGCCTACTTTGAATGAACTTCTTTTCCCAACGTGAGCATTTGTATGCACTATTTGATATCATGCAAGCAGAGTTACCAAACCCAATGAAGTTTTCCTCCTGAAATTGGTCCCCATACTTTACAACTGAATAGCGGCTGATATAATAGCACTTTCTAGGAAATGATTTTCCCAGTAGTGATGTATGGAAGTGAGAGCTGGACCAGAAAGAAGGCTGATCGCCGA